AGCACCTATGATGCTGCTTGGCCTGCTGTGTTCATCCAGCTCTGCACCTTGTTGTCTCTCATTGTTTGGAGCGATGTGGGTCAAACAAGGCAAGGACCGGTTGAACCGAAGTGTCTGTTTCCAAGCTGTATGACTCTATAACTCTACAAGTGCAGCTGCAGAACCATGGAGCTGCACAAAGAGTCCCCAATCCTCGCGGGCGAAGTGCTGCATCGCGCCCTACAGCGGAGAGGTCCGGAGCAGGAAAGGCGGCGGCCGGCATGACGCATGCTCCGCAGACGGTGCCGGCGCTGTGCGTGCACACTGGGCTCCAGTGACGTTACACCGGACGGTTGGCGCGAAAGTGCGCAGGCCCAGGCACGGCGGCGGTGTGAACATGCGCAGTGCAAGGGTGCGGGAGGAGAAGGTCTGCGGAGGAGCGGAACGGAACCGGGCCGGTGATGATGGTGAGGTGGTGGACGAGAGGAGAAGGGAACGGCTGTGGAGAATTAACCTCAGGATTATTATAAACACCAGGAGTGGCGGGGGCGTGGAGGCTCGAGGCATTGAATAAGAGCTCGATATTTACCCCGCGGCGCCCCGAAGGGTGGGGGAGACAAGCCCAGGTCTTCATGGCCGCCATGTTGGTGAGGGAAGGTAATTGGGTGGAATCTCTACCACCCTCAGCGCACTGACCACCATCTTGATGAGGGATAAGTGGGGCGCGGCTTCATTCCCTTTTGTTATCCCGGCCGCCATCTTGGTAAGGGATAAATGGGACGCGGCTTCCTCTCCATTTTGTTGCCCTGGTCGCCATCTTGGTGAGGGAGTGGATGGTCCATTGCTCCCTACCCAAGGTCTCTGAACCTCCTAGGTGCTGCGTTATTTGGGCAGCCCATGCTAGACATAAAGGGGCAGGCTGTTCTCTCAGGTGAGACCTCCACTCATTCATTCTACACCCAGTTGCATGACCTATTAAAGTCTCATGCATTGCTTTCAATATTCAGTTGGTAATCGGTGGGAACTGTTACGGCACGGTGGCTCACTGGTTAGCACTGCTGCCTCACGGCACCAGGGAACTGGGTTCGATTCTACTTTCGGGTGACTGTCTGTCCATATGGAGTTTGCACGTTCTCCCTGTGACTGAGAGTTTCCTCCAGGTGCTCCGGTTTCTTCCCACAATTCAAAAATGTACAATGTAGGCAGATTGGCCATGCTGGAGTGCTCCTTAGCTTCCAGGGGTGTGTAGGTTAGGAGGATTAGCCATGGGGAATTGCAGGGTTATAGCGTAGGGGGGATGCTTTTTGAAGGGCTGGTGTGCACTTGATGGGCCAAAATGGCATGTTTCCACACTTTAGGGATTCTAGAATTTCTATGTTCTACTGGCAGAAGCAACTTTTGCAAACTCTCTTTTTGACAGGGTATCGAGAAAGAGGATTCACAGATGAAATACTCAAATTGAGCAGCACGCTGAGGTTGTATAAGAGTCACGCCAATTCCTAGGCATCTGAATATCACTGGCCTTTGAGGGTGGATCGAAAGAAAAATGTTTGTCATTTTGTCTGCTGGCTTTCAAACTTTGGTGAGACCAGAACAGCAGGAAGGCATCCAAGTGAAAGTCTTTCAGTGCAATTACCCAGGTTCACAGCCTTCAGTAACATTGGACCATTCAGGGTGGTACGTGTGACCTGTGTGTATGTGTATGAAACTTTAACGAGTTATCCGAACCCAGAGGGAGTGACAAGAGCACTCGCACCATGGATAAACCATGGAAATGTGGGGACTGTGGGAAGGCGTTCAGCTATCCATCGCAGTTGGAAAATCATCGCCGCAGCCACACCGGGGAGAGGCCATTCATCTGCTCTGTGTGCGGTAAGGGCTTCGCGCAGTCCTTCTGCCTCCAGTCGCACCAGCGGGCTCACACTGAGGAGAGGCCATTCAGCTGCACGTACTGCGGGAAGAGGTTCCGGTGCTCGTCCAACCTCACGGCCCACCGGCGGGTCCACACGGGCGAGAGGCCGTTCACCTGCTCGGTGTGCGGGAAGGGCTTCACCCAGTCCACCACGCTGCAGACTCACCAGCGGGTCCACACGGGCGAGCGGCCGTTCGCCTGCTCCGAGTGCAGCAAGGGGTTCACCAACTCGTCGCAGCTGCTGAAGCACCAGCGGGTCCACACGGGTGAGAGGCCGTTCACCTGCACCGCCTGCGGCAAGGGCTTCGCCCAGTCCAACAACCTGCTGCGGCACCAGCGGGGCCACGCCGGCGAGCGGCCCTTCTCCTGCCCGGTCTGTGGCAGCGGGTTCACCCACTCGTGGAACCTGCGGGCCCACCAGCGCATCCACAGCGGTGAGAGGCCGTTCGCCTGCTCGGTCTGCGGCAAGGACTTCACCCGCTCGTCCCACCTGCAGACTCACCGGCGCATCCACACCGGGGAGAGGCCTTTTGTCTGCTCTGTGTGCGGGAAGGGCTTCACTCAGTCACAGCACCTTCTGTCACATCAGCGAGTCCATAAGTGACCACGGGAGGTGGATTATTCGAGGCTGCTGGTCACATCCAGTGGTTGATAGAATCCCTACGGCGCTGAAAGAGGCCGTTCGGTCTGTCGAAGTCTGCACCGACCCTCCAAAGGGCATCCCACCCAGAACCGACCCCCTTCCCTGTCCCTGTAACCCAGCATGACTAATCCACCCAGCCTGCACGTTATGGGAAATTTAACACGGCCATTCCACCCAGCCTGCACATCCCCAGAACACTACGGGACAATTTAGCACGGTCAATCCACCCTAACCTGCACATCTTTGGACTCTGGGAGGAAACCCGTGGCAGAGACGGGAGTGGGGGGATGTCGTGCGGGCGCCACACGATCAGAACTGGAATTGAACCCGGGTCCCTGGTGCTGTGAGGCAGCTGCACCAATCACTGAGCCACCATGCCAACCCCCAAAGTCTGACAGTGTTTGGTTTGTTTTCCACTGGCGTTGACGTTCCCAGTAACCGGCTGGAGTTTCGTATTCTGGAGACGTTGGTGATTTTTGGGACTGCTTTGTCCCATTTAGCATCTTTCCCCTTAATTCGTGAACTCTTAGCAAGAACCATAAGATGAGGAACTCTCACCTCGTCCTCAGGTTCACCTTTGGGACAAAATGAACAGTGCAGTGCCTGAAAGTATCCACCGATTAACATTTCCAATTAGAAAGCACTGATTTTTAAGAAATCAAGTAACGTTGCCACAGTCTTGCAGGGTCCCTCCAGCTTAATAATATCCTTCATTAGTGAGAGAAGGTGGTTTAGCCTGAAGGTCACTGTGCCTCAGGCGAGTTGATAAGAATAATCCTACAGCTGTTGTGGGGATTGAACCCGCACTGCTGACATCGCACTGCATCGCAAGCTAGCTAACTGAGCCCCCAAAGTGCCGTTTAATCCTTGCTGACACTTCCTTCCGACTCTCACGTTCTTCACAGCCGCACCTTCTTTGCGAAATCAAATTGCCAGGGAACGCCAGGGGGTGAAAGTGAAGTGAAGCGAAGGTTGCTGTAGTCCCAGAGGTTATCCTCCCTTCACAGCGAAATGATATGTCGCAGGTTTAACCTGGGGTCTGGGTGGAGGGGTCGGGGGGGGTCACCGCACTTTGGCCAGAGCTGAGAAGAGTGGGGTCTTTGCAGAATCGATCCCATACTGTTGGGGTCGCTCAGCATTGCAGACCTGCCACCATACCCAGCCAGCTTGGGCCATTCGTACAGCATGGAAGCAGACCTTTTGGTCCAACCAGTCCATGTGGGGCCTAATCCCAAACTAGTCCCACCTGCCTGCGCTTAACCCATATCCCTCCAAACCTTTCTTATTCATGTACTTATCCAAATGTCTTTTAAATGTTGTAACTGTACCCACATCCACCACTTCCCCAGGAAGTTCATTCCACACCTGCACCATTCTCTGTGTGTAAAGGAAATTGCCGCTTGTGTCTTTTTTACATCTCTTTCACCTTTAAAAAAAGTGCCCCTTAGTCTTGAAATCCCCGACCCTAGGGAAAAGACACCTGCCACTTGCCTCATCTGTACACCTTATGATTTAAAAATCTCAACCTTCTACACTTCAGTAAAAAAACAGCCCCAGCCTCTCCTTATAACTCAAACCCTCCATTCCTGGCAAATCTCTTCTGAGCCCCCTCTTAATAATATCCTTCCTCTTAACAGGGAGACTGGAATTGGATATTTTACAGCTGTGAGTCAATGTTGATGAAGTCATGTTTCAAACACAGCATCTCCAGCACTTGGTAAAGGTGGAATGCACAACAAAGACCCTTTTTTGTAAAGGATCCATTCCTGGCATGAAGGTGTTTCCGGCTAGGCTAGTGCTTGGTACCCATCCCTAATTGTCCAGAGGGCAGCTAGGAGTCAACCACATTGAGTCTGGAGTTACATGTAGGCTAGACCAGGTAAGGATGGCAGTTTCCTTCCCCAAAGGGTGCTGGATGGGTTTTCTTCCCCAAACAATCAACATTATTAGACTCTCAATTTTGTTTTTTTTTTTAATTGAATTTGAAATTCCACCATCTGCCATGGCAGGATTCGAAGCCATGTTCCCCCAGAACATGACCTGGGTCTCTGGATTAACAGCCCAGTGATAATACCACTAGGCCATTGCCTCCCCTTGATGCCATTGGTCTTTGAAGTGAAAAGTGAAACCAACTGGATGCATGACATTAATCCAGCACCGAGAACAGCACCAAACCTGGACAGCAACCAATGGAATTATCAACGGGCTGAGAGACACCATGGAAACAAACACTGGATCAGTTTATGTCAAGCAATCCAAGCTGCCCGTGACAGGATAGATTGACGTGCTATGTATGATGGGATCTAGACGGTGCTTGGCTTCCACTGTTCCCCAGAGTTGTCCCTCCTGAAATCAGCAAAACCCCCCTGACTGACGGGGAGCAAAGAGATGTCCCGTTGGGTTGAACACGGCTGTGCTCCCGTGAGGTACCCATCCTTCCAGTGTCTGACACTTTTGCAAGGCTTCCTGGTTAAGTCGGACGAGGAGCCCTGAACATTGGAAAAGGGCCGCTGATCATTCAACCAGCACAGGCAGCGATAGCCTTTCAGCTGCGCTGCTCAAACACGCAAAGTCCTGTCCGCTGTTACTGCTTCGCAATTTTCTACAATGTGATTAGCTCACATGAGTACTCACAGTGTAGCAGGTGTTTTGAGAGTTAAAACGCTGTGCTGGATAAAACGCTCTGCCTTTTGTGAACTATTCAGGCCGTTTGTTATCTCTGACTCATAAGTGCTTGAGAAAGGGAGATATGAAGTGGAACTCTAAATCAATGGCAAACACTTCTGTCTCAAATGTAAAAGCACAGTTCAGAACCACCAAAGTGGCATCATTGTTTCTGAATTTGGAATTGATAAAATAATTTGATTTGCTGTTTCAATGAGTTGGACCGACGGGTCTGTTTCTGTACCACACAACTCTGAGCCTAAGCACATAAAGGAAATGTTTACATGAGGTTTATTCTTATGTAAAGTTAACAAAACAAAAAAAAAGCAATCTACATAATTTCTGAGTTGCCAGAGAAAAGCCGGGAGGTCCGATAAGTTCCAGAGGACATGCCCTATTCAAAAAGGCCAACACAGATTACAACACTGGGGGAGATTGAAACAACTTCAGGGGCATCTCGCTCAGTGTCATGGGGGGAGGCTTTCAGGAGAGTCAGGTTCGAAAAGAGTTTATCTGCTCACAGACCGAGTGTGGCCAGAGACTCAGCGAGGTTTCTGCGCCGGTGGATCGACGGGGAGGACACGGTCCTCTCTGCAGACCAGCGAGATTGACTTCGGTATCTAAACCGTTCCACGGCATCAGCAGGTCAGGACTCATCAAAGGATTTCGAGGAGAATCAACCCGTCCGCCAGTGCTCACCAGTCCTCTCCTTTCACAGCCTGACTGCACAAAGTCAGACGCAGAACGGAGTGAAACAAACACAAGATTCGACAACTCGCAGCCACTTCTGAGCACCAGGAATAAGAATGACGTCTTTCGGAGAGATGGAACAGGGAGACTTGACACTGAAATGAGGAATGGGAACAGTGCATTTAAAGTCTTGCAAAATGGGTCATACTAAATCACAACTTCCCAAACCTCGGTGTTTCAATACTCCACACTGTGTGTGAGCCCAGAGGATTTCTTTCTCGGGGACGAGAAGGGGGAATGTGTGAGACTTATTGGTGGGTTGGGGAGTGGTGAATCTTCAGCTAATGAGCAAATAGGGAGATTATTACCTGATTAATTTATCTGGACTCTGATTATTAATGTGATCCAATTCAGACTATTCACTTCATACAATTGGAACATAATCAACAAACAGGAGGATTCTAATTATTGATATAATGCAGCTCTGATCATTAATGGAAATGATTCAGATTTTAAAAAAATAAGTAGCTTCTTGATTGTTGTTGGAATTGGTGACTAATTATTTATGCAATAGAAAATGTGTCATTAATTAGATCCAGATTAATTTTTTTTCTATCCATTCAAGGGAAGTTGGTATGGCTGACGAGGCCAGCATTTATTGTCCATTGTTAATTGTCCAGAGAGCAGTGTTTCTGTAGTTCTGGAGTCACGTGTAGACTGGACCAGTAAGGATGGCAGAATTTCTTCACTAAAGGACATTAAACGTTGTAACTGTGCCCACATCCACCACTTCCTCTGGAAGTTCATTCCACACACAAACCAGTCACAGTGTTTAAAAAAAAATTGCCCCTCAAGTCTTTTTAAAATCTTTCTCCTCTCGACTTACAAATATGCCCCCTCGGCTTGAAATCCCTCACCCTGGAGAAAAGACACCTGTCTTATCTATACTCCTCATGATTTTATAGACCTCTATAAGGTCACCCCCCCAACTTCCTATGCTCCAATGAAAAAAGTCCCAGACTATCAAGGCTCTCCTTATAACTCAAACCCTCCATTCCTGGCAACATCCTGGTAAATCTTTTCTGAGCCATCTCTGGTTTAATAATATCCTTCCTATAACAGGGTGACCAGAACTGCACAGTATACTCTGGAAGAGGCCTCACCAATGTCCTGTACTATCTCAACATGACGTCCCAACTCCTACCCTCAAAGATCTGAGCAATGTAGGCAAGCGTGCTAAACGCTTTTGTAACCACCCTGTCTATATGTGATGCAAACTTCAAAGAATTATGTACCTGAACCCTTAGGTCTCTCTGTTGTACAACACTAACCAAGGCCTTACTTTTAATTGTATAAGCCCTGCCCTTGTTTGTTTTATCAAACGTTTTTATACAATACTTCGCATTTATCCAAATTAAACTCCATCTGTTACTCCTCAGCCCGTTGACCCAATTGATCAACATCTCTTTGAAATTTTAGATAACCTCTTTGACTGTCCAGTATACCACTGATTCTAATGTCATCTGCAAACTTACTAACCATTCCTTGTGTATTGATGAACCAGATGGAGCTTGTAACCACATTTGATGACAGTTGCATGGTCATCTTTGGACTTTTAATTCCAGATTTTTTTCTTTTTACTAAATTCACATTTCACCATCTGCCATGCTAGGATTTGAACTCAGAACTCTAGAACACTACCTGGGGGTCAATGAATTAATCATCTAGTGATAATACCACTAGGCTGTTACCTCCCCTGTGCCCTTCTGACCACAATTAATATAGAACTGTATAGCCTAGGAACAGGGCCTTCAGCCCACAGTGTTGTGCCAAACATGACACCAAATTAAACTAATCCCTTCTGCCTGCCCTTGGTCCATATCCCTCCATTCGTTGCATATTTATGTGCTTATCTAAAAGTCCCTTAGACGCCTCTATTGTACCTGGTTCCACCCCTGGCAGCATGATCCAGACTCTGTAAAAAAAAACCTTGCTCCTCACATCTCCTTTGAACTTTCTCCCTCTCACTGTAAGTGCATGTATTAGATATTTCAACTCTGGGAAAAAGATTCCAACCATCAGCCCTGTTCTATGCATCTCATAATTTCATAGACTTCGATCAAGTCTCTCCTCAGCCTCCGGCACTACAGAGAAAACAACCTAAGGTTTTTCGATGCTGCCCTTATAGCTCATACCCTCTAATCCAGGCAGCATTCCGATAAGTCACTCCTGCATCCCCTCCAAAGCCTCCACATGCTTCCTGTGATGTGGCAACCAGAATTGAATGCAATACTCTCAGTGCGGCCTAACCAAAGTCTTATAAAGCTGTGACATGATGTCCTGACTCTTGTACTTAATATCCTGGCCAATAAAGGGGCATGCCATATGCCTTCTTTACCACCCTATCTACTTGTGTAGCCACTTTCAGGAAGCTGTGGACTTGAATCCCAAGATGCCTCTGTAAATCAGTCTTGAAGGGTCTAGGCCTGAAACGTCAGCCTTCCTGCTCCTCTGATGCTGCTTGGCCTGCTGTGTTCATCCAGCTCTACACCTTGTTATCTCTTGCCATTAACTGTATGCTTTTCCTCAACATGTGATCTCTCAAAGTGCAGCACCTCATGCTTACCCGGATTAAACTCCATCTGTCATTTCTCCACCCATGTCT